CCTGGGATGAAAAAATACCAGAAAGCTACCATGAATTTCTTATGTCAGTTTCTTTGCATAATCTGCCTATTGTTCATAAGAGAGAATAAGAATATGCACAGGGTAATTTCTATCCAGAATTCTGGCTAAAAAGACTTTTAGTTGATATGCTGTGATATAAACAAACTGATGCTATTTTCTTAAAAATTCCTGCAAATAATAGTTAAGAGGAGACCAACAGTTTAAAACCACAGAGAGTAACAGTACATATGTCTAAGAGGGTTTGGAGAGCATCCTGAGAAAATAGAAAGAGAGGTTGTAAACAGGTAAAATACACCTGAAATGCAATAGGAAGCTGCTCAAATAGACATGATATTTTTGAGGGTGAATTATTAGCATTCATATTTAATGCATTGAAAGATGCCCATTTCATCTTTTCCCCTTCCTGGGCTGCTCACTCTTCCCTATTCACATGTATTATTCCTCTACATTTATCTGTTGGGGCGAGCATGAAACATTGCTGCTCTGAGAAAAGGTATACACACACACACACATACATATACATATACCGCTGTCTGGGGGAGGCTCCAACAGAATATCACCAACTTTGGCAATCAGCCAATCAATTTAAACCCTCCCACATACAACCACAACATATATAATGGAACACTATTCAGTGATAAAAAGTAATCATGAAAAAATATGCTATTAGTTCACAGAACAACCTGGATAAACCTCAAAATGCCTTATGCTAAGTGAAAGAAGGCAGACCAAAAGTCTCCAGAGTGTGTAATTTCATTCATATAATATTCCAGAAGAGGCAAAACAATAAAGATGCAAAAAAAGACCAGTGATACCAAGGGTTTAGAAGGTAGTGTCTGACTAAGGGAAGCTCAGGAGATTTGGGGTTAGCAGAGGAACTAATCTGTATGGCACTGTAATGGTGAATACATGATGCTTTGTATATGTCAATACCCATAGAACTTTCCAGCACAAAGAGTGCACTGATGCATGCATTTTTTAAGTCAACCAGATCAGAGGATCCCACAGTGGAATGCAGACTGTGACCCCCCCCCAAAAAAAAAATCTAACTATTACCTATATCTGACTAACATAATCTCATTAAAGGGAGTGTGGGGGGAAAGTAACTTTGGAAAACAGTGCTTTGAATGGAAACTGTAAGACTAAAGTAAAAAAGAACTCTATATAAGAACTATACTCTGGTTGGCTGTTGTTTCCCATGCTGGTATGGGTCAATATTCTGAAGCTGCTGTACATGTATACTGGGATTGAATAAGTAAATGAATAACAGGTGGTGAGATCCAGGTTTTTCACTGTCAGAACCGGAGGGGAGGGGCAGTTACAGATAAGGGGAAAGCTAGAATGAACCATGCGGTACTAGACTAGGTTCAGAGACAATAGTATAAATTCATGTTTAGCTTAATATAGACACAGATGGGTAGATATAAATATAGAAGGTGCATTTACCTGTGTAAGTATACATGTATACATTTCCTCATCATGTGCATGAGAGGGCCAGGAAGCTATGGCACCCCAGTAGCAATGAGCACACCCAGCACCCAGATTCTAGTTTCTAATATCATTCTCCAATAACAAGGCTCCTTGGGAAAATGGCTGATTTTAGGGCAAAGCAAGGACAATATAAGGGAAGCCTGAAGAATCTTAGAGGGCCAGAAAGTAAGAACTATTCAAAAAAAGAAAAAGATGGGGAGCTTGTCAAAGTGACATAGCAGCCAGACTTAGAGAATTCTCAATAACCAAAGATGGAATCATTTGAGCAACAAAACAAATAATATAGCATTGGATTATAACCCAAAGTATAAGGTAAGTATCCATGATTCCATTCATACTAATACAAATAAATGATTGAATAAATAAGCAAATATGGAGAATAGATAAGTCCCCTGTGCATAAGAATTCAAAATACTCTTAAGGGCTTGGCTCCTCTTCCCTTGAGTATGGGCTGCACTGTGTCTTACTTCCAAAGAGTGAAATATGGAAAGGGTGTGGGATAATGTAACTTCACAGTGTGGAAACCTGGCAGACACTACCTCAGCCAGGCGATCAAGGTCAGCATCATCAGTGGTAAGTCATGTTGGTGGTGTGTACCCTGGATATGATGTAATGAAATTAGCTCATTACTGTGGGGCGCGGTTACGGTGTTTTGGCCAGGTTCAAGCCTCGGACTAATGAAAGGACAGGGTCCTCTCATTGCCACGTGCATGTCCCAGCTGGAGGGCAGGGCCCTCCCAGGACAATTATAGCCAACAGCTATGGTGGTAAGCTTGAACCTATGGTCCGAACATGTAGCCCCACGTGCCTTGTGATAGAGTTCGGGTGCATGTAGTTGAGTGAGGTTGAAACTCACGAGAATGCTGTAAACAACGTGATCACGCCCCTACTTTGCCTCGTGGCATCTGCTATAAAATAAAGACACAGCTTGTGGGCGCTGTCATTGTCTCCTCATCAGGGAGGCAGCGTCCCACTGATACCCAGCTATTATTCTCTTGTCTGTCTTTCCTTAATCCTTTCACCCCCCCTCTCGGGATCACCCTTGGTCGTGCTGGCGTGGCACACATTACTTTGTGGTCTTCCTCCCCAAAACCAATAACCCCCGTGTAATCATGAGAAAAACTTCAGACACCCCCAATTGAGGGACATTCTGCAAAATATCTTAAAACTGTCAAGGTCATCAACAACAAGGGAATTCTGAAAATTTGTCACAGACCAAAGGAGACATGACAAATAAATGTAATGAGGTGTACTGAGTGGGGCCCTAGAAAACTAGGAAAAAAATGAAATCTGCATCAATTGTGGAGTTTAGCTAATAGCAATGCAAGGTGTTAGCATGGGGAAACTGGGTGAAGGATGAATGAGAACTCTATTCTCTTTGCAACTACTCTGTTAATCTAAAAGTATTCAAAAAGTAAAAGTTTATTAAAAGGAAAATGGTAAAGACCAAAAGTATTAGTCCAGGGTTAATTTGGAGAATGGGACAAGACCTTGTCTTTCACTATATATCCATAGTGAAATGGATATATATGTCCATTTCAGAGAGGAAGGGAGAGAGAGAGAGAGAGAGAGAGAGAGAGAGAGAGAGAGAGAGAGAAACATCAATGATGAGAAAAGATCTTTGATCTGCTGTCTCCTGCATGCCCCACACTGGGGATCAAGCATGCAACCATATGTGCCCTGACCAGGAATTGACCATGACCTCCTGGTTCATAGGTCAGTGCTCAACCACTGAGCCATACCGGCTGGGCCATTATGTATAGTTTTGTAAGCACTAATCTAGGAAAACATTTTCTGGATAACTTTGGCTTTTTCCCCAGTTTAAAATCTTCTTTCTATTGTACTGACTGAGATGGTGTTGAACTCCTTGCTATTTGCTCAAAGACATTTTTATCTTAAAATCCTGGAAGTCTGAAGTCACGACACTTTGTTCTTTTGTCCGCCCCCAACATATTTTGCTGCAAACCTTGTCATCATCAAGGTGCAGCCCACTGGCTTTGTAAGTGGTTTGTGACTTCCTTCTGCTCTTGGTATTCCAGTTCTATTTAGGTCCATTAAAGGGAGCATGTGGGCTTGACAATTTGTCACCAAGATTCAGGTACACCTACCTCATTACCAAGCCCCCAAAGTTCAGTGATGATGCTACATAGAATTGTGGCCATAACAAGTATTGCAGTTATCTACACTAAATAAAAGAGAAACATGCAAATTGGTGTCACTCCACTACACCTACCAGCCAATCAGGATGAGTATGCAAATTAACCCAACAAAGATGGCAGTTAATTTGCATATGCAGGCGCAGAGAGAAGACTGAAGGCTCCAGCCTGAGCAAAGACTGAAGACAACTGAAAACTGAAGAGGCTTGGCTTCTCTGCTGTGGCCAGAACGAAGGCCTGGGTCCTGGGTGCCAGAGGAAAACCAGTGCCGGCAGCCAGGGGAAGGAAGGCCTATTGCACAAATCTCTTCATGCAATGGGCCTCTAGTATACTTAATAAAACATCATATTTGATCATGAATTAAATCACTTGAGTAATTTTCATGCTGCTCCCTGTTTACAGTCCAGAAAGTTCTGTTTTCTTCTAGAAAATCTAATAACTTCAATTGTTATGTGTTTCCCATGAAAAGGTAAAAAAAAAAAAGTGCAAACATTTCTGGGTGTGTTAATATTCAAGTAACAATGTTTACTGGGTTTGCAAATAATCTGGATAATGAATATAAACACACGATAAAACTTCTTTTACAACCAAACAATTATAGACTATTAAAATGATAACACCAGCTTATTGTTAGGTGATGGGGGTTGATTATTTAAGCGGAGGGATTTCCCATGAACTGGTAAATAAGATCATGCTAGCCAAAAATAGTCTCCTAAATGGCATTCTTTTCCATTTTCCCCCTTCATTCTTATTGTTGACACTATTGCAAATGTCCCCATTTCCCCCCAACTGGCCACCCTCCACTAAATGGTTTTTGATGTTTAATTGATCTTTCTGTTGAGATAGGTAAGGAAAGTTTTACAATTTGAGATTATTATTGAAATATTTTATTTCACCACTGAAGTCAATCAACAGTTTTTTGATTTTTAACTTTTTAAGTTTTTCGTTGGTTTGTTTGTTTTGTTAGTCCTCACCTGCAGCTATTTTGCCATTGATTTTTAGGGAGAGTGGAAGAGAGAGGGAAAGACAGAGAAACATGGATGTGAGAGAAACACATAGACTGGTTGCCTCCTGCATGGGCCCGGACTAAGGCCTGGGTCGGCAGGAGCCTGCAACCAAAGTACATGCCCTTGACTGGAATCAAACCCGGGACCCTTAGGTCTGCAGGCCAATGCTCTATCCACTGAGTCAAACCGGCTAGGGCTTTAAATCATTTTTTAATGAAATGTTCTTCTGGGGTCCGTTTTCCTCTGGTTTAAATTGGATGGGGGTGGGCATGGGATTCCTCCACCAATTGTTTGCTTTAAACAGTATTCCCTTTATTATTCCCAGACAATCGTTCGAGGAAACAAACCCTGCCAGGAATCCTCCATCAACGGCCTCCTGGAGGATTTCGACAACATCTCGGTGACCCGCTCCAACTCCCTAAGGAAAGAGAGCCCGCCCACCCCGGACCAGGGCGCCGCGGGCCATGGCCCAGGCCACCGGGAAGAGAACGGCTTCATCACCTTCTCACAGTATTCCAGCGAATCCGACACCACCGCCGACTACTCCACCGACAGGTACCGCGACAAGAGTCTCTATGGAGACGATTTGGATCCGTTTTATAAAGGCAGCCATGCGGCCAAGCAGAATGGGCACGTGATGAAAATGAAACACGGGGAAGCCTACTATTCTGACATGAAGCCCCTGAAATCCGACCTGGCCCGATTCCCCATCGATTATCACACACACTTGGACTCACTGAGCAAACCCAGTGACTACAGTGACCTCAAGTGGGAGTACCAGAGAGCCTCGAGCAGCTCGCCTCTGGATTACCCGTTCCAATTCACGCCTTCCAGAACTGCAGGGACCGGCGGCTGCTCCAAGGAGAGCCTGGCCTACAGCGAGAGCGAATGGGGGCCCAGCCTGGATGACTACGATCGGAGGCCAAAGTCATCGTACCTGAATCAGACCAGCCCGCAGCCCGCCATGCGGCAGAGGTCCAGGTCGGGCTCGGGGCTCCAGGAACCGATGATGCCCTTCGGAGCAAGTGCATTTAAAACCCACCCCCAGGGACACACGTACAACTCCTACACCTACCCTCGCTTGTCCGAGCCCACAATGTGCATTGCCAAGGTAACGTCCTCTGCCTCCTTGCCTCCAGAGTGGGGGACCCTCCACCAAGGTGGTGCGAGCACCGCCTTCTTATATAGTCAGATTCTCAAGTGCTGGGTTGCCTTGTAAGTGAGAATCCATATGGAAATTCTGATTTCCATCCCCCAGCCCCGAGAGCCGAAAATTTAGGGCAAGACACATTTATTCATTAAAGTAAAGGTCTGTGGGGGATCGTCTATGGGGTTTCTAGTTAAAAGGCCAAAAATCGTGTTTATTTGAAAGAACTTAGTACAACATGAGCACATCGCATTTATCGTAACGTCTCTGTGAAGGAGTACATGATGTAGATCGTTAGATGGAATAATACAGTGGTTCCTGCATTCTGAAAAAAATTTATGTGGCTCTGCTGAAAAGGAAAAAAAAAATCAGGATAATGCAGTAAGTTTTTAATAAAGTTAATTTTATTCCACTTGAGGGACAATTCTTCATTTGAGAGTATGTTCTTTCTATTATTGTTGTCTTAAAATATCTTTTTTTGTTTGTTTTAAATTTGGGGATTATAGATAGAAGCTGGTTGCTGGGCCTTTTTCTGTGCTTTTTATTTTATTTTGTTTTGTTGTAACTCCTTTGTTGGTTAAATAAGTTTAAATGTCAGCTGCTGCAAATTCTTTTTGAAATTGGGGACCACTGTTGTAGAAGTTCCTGAACCTGAACGTACTCACTTGGAAAAATACCTTGGAGAGTGTGCAAGTGGTTTACTTTCCCATGGTAACTTAGAAATATTTCTGCTACCTCAGCTGTATAGCGAAGTGAAAATGGGGCATTTGGTGATGGGCTGTGGATTCCATAGAGGTCTCAGACTAGTTGAGAGGGACGTGACTTCTAGTAGCGTGATCATGCATGCTGTACCAAACGCTCTCTCTTCAGCAGCTTGATGGGAGGCGAGCCCTTGGGGGATGTCCCCTTGGGGGATGTCCGACTGCTTGTTTTATTGATTGTACATAGTCAATATTTTTCTTTACTTACTATTTCTCATAAACCCAACCCAATGTGTTGAAGTCATTTACAGACATGCTGGTAGTGACTTTAACCATACCTTTAGAGAGAGAAAAAAAAACACAGCAAAAACTCTCACTTTAGTTTCCAATACATAAAATGAGAAACAAAGACTTGAAATATATACATCTAGTTAAAATTTAAATATTGAGAATGTTTTTCATCTTGCTATGTGAGTTATTTGAACTCCCATGATCAGGGTAACATGACTGCCTTTACTTCTTATGTTTTTACCAGGGCAATTGTTGGAAAGAGGTCTATCTAATTGACCAGCACAAAAATCTCATACACATGATGTATGAGATGGTTTATTAGATTTCCTGTGCATATCACTCACCTGAGGGAACCCCTTGGTAGTTCTAGAGTGAAATAAGGGAATCAACACATACCAGAGCTGAACCTGGTAACATCCGCAGGTTTGGAACAGCAGTGGTTACTTTATGTAACAGTAAAGAATGTTTTTCTCCTTCGCTGAGGTCTAATTGACAAAATTTAAAGATAATTAAAATTTACAACATGATGATTTGATATATGTAAACATTGTGAAATTCTCTTCCGACATAATTAAGACATCCATCACCTTACATATTTACTTTTATCAGGGGGAGAACATTTAAGTTCTAATCTCTTTGCAGATTTCAATTATACAGTAGAATTCTATCATCATCATGTTATACATTACGTCCTCAGACCTCATTCATCTTATTACTAAAGATTTGTACCCTTTACCAACTTATTGCTCCTCGCCCTTGTCTCTGACAATCACTTTTCTATTCTCTGTTTTGATTTCTACCTTTTTAAAAAAAGATTCTACATATAAGTGATATTTCACTTACCATAATGCCTGGCTGGAACTCTCATTTATTGCAAATGGCAGAATTATTTCTTCTCTTTTAAGGCTGAATAATATTCTATTGTATATATATTTTCTTGATCCACATTTTATTGAACCATTCATCTGTTTATGGACACATGACTTGTTTCCATACCTTGACTATTGTTAATAGTGCATTGGTCATGAGGGTATAGTTATCTCTTCCACATAAAGATGATGTTTCCTTTGAATATATATCCAGAAGTGGAAATGCCAGATCAGATGGTAGTTTTATTTTTAATTTCTTGAAAACCTTTATTCTATTTCCCATAGTGGCTGTACCAGTTTACGTTCCCATCAATAGTTACAATGGTTCTTTCCCCTCACATCCTTGCTAGCATTTTAAATCTCTTGTCTATTTGATAATGGCTATCCTAACAACAGAAAGATATCTCATTGTGGTTTTGATTTATAGTTTCCTGATGATTAGTGATGAAGAGCACCTTTTTATGTATCTGTTGGAGATTTGTATGTCTTCTTTAGAAAAATGTCTATTCAGATTCTTTGCCCATTTTTTTAAATTGGGTTATTTGTGCGTTTTGTGGTATGTGTGTTTTTCTAATTGTTTGAATTACTTGTATATTTTGGATACAAATATCAGATATTTGTATCAGATATTTGGTTTTATCTTTATCAGATGTGTGGTTTACAAATACTTTCTCCCATTCCATAGGTTGCCTTTTCATTTTTGTTGATAGTTTCCTCTGCAGAGCAAAACTTTTTTAGTTTAATTTAGTCCCACTTGTTTATTTTTGTTTTTGTTGCCTTTTCCTTTGGTGCTAAATCCAGAAAGTTGTTGCCAAGACCAATGTTGAAAACCTTGTCCCCTATGTTTTCTTCTAGGAGCTTTATGATTTCAGGTCTTACATTCAAGTCTTTAACCCATTTTTAGTTGATGTTGTGTATGTTATAAGATTAGGGTCCAGTTTTTTTTTTTTTTTTTACACATGGCTAATCAGTTTTCCCAGCATTATTTATTGAACAGACTATTTTTCCCCATTGCATATTCTTATATCCTTTATCATAAATTAATTGACCATATTTCTGAGCTCTCTATTTATTACACTGATCTATGTGTCTGTTTTTATGCCAATACTATATTGTTTTGATTATTCTTACTTTGTAATGTAGTTTGAAATCAAGAAATGTGACACCTCCAGTTTTGTTCTTCTTTCTCAGGATTATTTTGGCTATTTTGGATCAAATATGATTTGTGTGTGTATGTGTGTGTGTGTGTGTGATGCTCACATCTCCAATAATAAGAGAAAGCACAAATCTCATGTAAATCTTCAGATAGAGCAAAAATGAGGAAGTGTGTGTGGGTGTGTATTTGACATGAGTTTGACAACATTTGGCCAAATTGAAAAAAAATACTGTTAACCCACAATTCAAAAAAAACACACAAAACCCTCCTCCAGTGTGTTCTACCTACCTAATTTTTCTATTAATGTAACAGGAATCGAGGATGTTATGACATCCATAGATATTGGCATGCATCTTCCTATTTTTGAATGATTTGCTGGGGCTTAAGCAAAAATTAAGAAAATATAAAACCAGCTCTGGCTGGGTGGCTCAGCATCACCCTGTGCACCAAGAGGTTGCAGATTCGATTCTGGGTCAGGGCACATATCCAGGCTGTGAGTTCAAACCCCAGTCAGGGCACCTACAGGAGGCAACCAATCAATGTTTCTCTCTCTCTCTCTCATCCCCTCTTTCTCTCAAATCAATAATAAAAAAAACCCACATATCCTTATATGCATAACTCATGGACACAGACAATAATGTGCTGAAGGACTATGAGAGGTGGAGACAGGGTGCAGGGAGGCAAAGAGGGAAAAGTGAGGGACATCTGTAATAGAATCAACAATAAGAGAAAGCACAACATATCCTCCGGTGAGGATTTACAAAGGAAAGGTGAAGCCAAACAAAAGCCATGTAGTACCATTCAGCCCTCAGAACTATCAAAAGGGCCACATGTGGAGGGAGAACACTTTCCACCCTCTCCTGCAGGCAAGTCTGCCGCATAGGGAGGGAAAATGGCTGGAGATATTGTCCCCAGGCATTTGTTTTTGCTCCTTCTGATGCTCTCCAGGTACCAAGCAGCTGCCGGCTAGAGTGTCTTGTCTGGCTCAGCACATCCATTCGCTGGTCTGTCTCCAACCCCCGAGAAGCCCTCAACAAAATCACAGCTCTGCCAGTTCTGAGCACTCTCTGTGCTGCCTTGCACCGCGCAGCCCTGTGAAGCAGGCTCTCTTGCCCTCTTCATCCAGATGAGGGAATGGGCTTTGAGAGGCTCAACAACAGCTGGGTCAGTCAGCTCAGAGCAGAGCTGGGACCCAGCTTTCTAGGCTCAGTCCCTTCACTGACATTGGCTACATCCCTGAATGGCTTAGGAATAGCCTCTGTGGGCACCAAGCCTTACAGGCTCCTTTTGACACCTGCAGCAATGAGGTTCCCTTGGGTTGCATCATCCTGTCTCACTCTATAGCAGGATTTCTCAATCTCGACACTATGCATGTTTAGGGCCTGATAATTCTTTGTTGTGGGGGGCTGTCCTGGGCGCTGTAGGGTGTTTAGTAGCATCCCTCACTCTTAACAACCAAAATGTCTCCAGACACTGCCAAATGTCCCAGGGTGGGGCAGGCGGAGCAAATGCAGCCACAGTTGAGAACTACCTATGGCTCCTGTTTCTCCAGGACTTTTTGGCAGCTAAGGCTCCCAGGGTTTGAGTCCTGATATTGTCCCTTAAAACTGGGTAGATAAACTGCATGCCTGTGCCTCTACTTCTTTATCTATACAATGGGGATAAAGAGCATCCCTGTCTTATCATGTTGTGCGAGGGTTAAGTTAGTAATGCACAGAGTCTATGTGCATCAGTCTACGTGTGCAGTAGGTGGATGGATGGCGTCTGTGATGTGGTGCTGAGGGTGACTCCGTGCCAGCACTGTGCTAAGCATCTTAGACAGTAACCAATTTAGAAGAACTCAAAGCTCATTTCTTTTACCATCAAGAAGCTGAGACAGTCCAGCCAGTGTTGCTCTGTAACTGAGCATCGGCCTATGATCCAGGAGGTCACAGGTTTATTCATTTC